ATTGATTTCAATAAGGTGAAGTCTTTACTCTTTCTTCCCATCACCTACTTTAACCCCAACAGAAAGGCAACCTATTTTCTTCTCACATGAATGCTCACTGAAGTCTTAAAAACATACACGTCACTGTAAGTGACCAGATGCTTCCCTTCACTATACACAACTAAATGGACGTTACACTTTGATCCATTAACCATCCCTCTGGGAGAATTAGAACAAAAGAGGAGGGAGTTTGATTCTTCAGATTTCAAGAAAAAGGAATGTGTGTGGTGGCCAATGGGAGAGAGAAAAGTGGATCAAGGAGGGGTGAGGAGAGCAAACCTAACTCTTCCCAACGTACAATGGTTTTTGTGTTTTTAGATGCCATTGATATGCAGTGTTCCTAATATTATTTAGAAAAAAAAGTTATCTACCTCCAGTCAGTTCTAGGGTGCAAAGGCTATTAACAAGGGAACATACCCTGGGGAAGTATGTTCATTTCATATATATAACAGATGCAATTCAAAATTGTGTCCTACTATGTTCTCATCTAATGTGTCACTGTGACCTTGGGTGATTTACTTAACCTTTCTGTGCTTCAATTTCCTACTTCTAAAATGAGAACTGTAGCATTTGATGTCAAGGAATAGAGGAAATGCCCAAAGCACTGAAGAATAGAGCTGGGCAAATCATTAAAGAGAGAAAGCAGAAGAGAGGGTGCCAGATGCTGAGGGGAATGGGGAATGGAAGTGACTGCCAATGGAACCAGACTTCTTTATGGTATGAAGATGTTCTAAAATTAGATAGTGATGGTTGTGCAACTTTGTGAATATACTAAAAACCACTGAATTGTACACTTTAAAAGGGTGAATTTCATGACAAAGTGTATCTCAATAAAGCTGTTATAAAAACTCTTAAAAAAATAGAATAGTGCCTGGTACACAGTAAGTGCCCAATAAATGTCATTAGCTATTACTAATAGTAATACTGTTTTATTAATGTGGCCATTCTATGGCCTAAGTAAATCCCTAGAAAGTCTGTATTTTTAATAAAAGTCCACAGAATCTAGAAAAGTATTTCTAATTTATATACATGGATCAATTAACATTCATACATTTATTTCCATCCAAATGTCTCAGAAACAAACTGTCTAGTTACAATTCCAGGGCTTCACACTGGACTAAAATAGCTGCATGCAGTGGATGCCTTATTAAATCATGAGATGCTTAAGATAAATTCCAATGACTTGATGTTATTCACAAATTTGAACTGACAGATTTTCATCTCCATGAATAAACAGGCAGTCCAAATCCAGTAAGTTGAGAGATTAAAGTACACAATTAAACCTCCAAATATAGGCTTGTTAGCTAGCATTTTAATCACATTTTGGAGGACACTTTATATTTTTTAAAAGACAACAGCAAAATGCTTACCAGTCCCATGCCTTGTGACCTTGTCCAACAGCAGAAAAATCTTGCCACAATGAAAAGATCAAATTTAACTCACTTAAGAAACTTAGAGGCAAAAGACTTCACAATTCATGGTTGACTTTTAAGACCATACAGTACAAATATATTGTCACCGAGTTTTTATAGTTTGAACAGAAATGAAATGAAGTCTTCACCCTTCCTATTGCTAAAGAATACAAAAAACAATTTCAGTCTCAGAAGTGGAACAGCAAGAGAGCATTGAGGATGGCGATGACGCCCCATGTTCTAGAACGATGTACCCACACTACATCTCATTTGAAGCATGAGACACCCCAATTCCTACATCAGGATTTCATCTGTAGGAGTGCCCTGCCCTTCTGGTCCCACTTCTATAACCAGTCATGTGTCTGTACAGCAAGTTAAGAAAAGCTGTGGAGAGGGTTATGACTTTAGACACTCAGGTCTTGTCACAGAAAGCAATGCACTTTTTTTGCATATATTGAAAAATATATTTATATCTTCTAACCATTCATTTTCAGAAAAAAATAATTAAACCTACAATTTATTCTCCCCCTCTCTCTCTCCTTTTGGTGCTAGGGATTAAACCCAGGGCATCACATATGCTAGGCAACTGCTCTACCCTTGGCCCTAAACCTTCACTTTAACCATTTAAAATCATTCGCCAAGTCACCCAAGAGTAACAAATTAATACATAGAACAAGCCGCCTTAATTCCAATATGTAAAACCCACACACCCAGGCACACATACTCCCCAAGTTGTGGCCTTAGGAATTTCTAATCAAATGTTTCACCTGAGTAAACTTTGGTAGTCTTCGTTCCCTTTTTGAAACATGGTTACTCCTTTAATTTTCTATTATAACCATCTGGGCAGATTACAAAATAATTTTGGGAGAGATCTTTGGGACATTCAAAAATTTCAGATAACTGAAATGGATGATTTAGAAACAATTTCAAAATTAGGATCAGTTTCAAAATATTTCCTTTACCAACTTAAGACTGAAATACTGGGTTTGTTCTTACAAAGGTTTATTTTACAATTTAAAAGGTAAATTGAGTGCCGGGGATTTAGCTCAGTGGTGCCACCTGCCTTCCAAGCACAAGATCCTGAGTTGAATCCCAGGTACCAAAAAAAAAAAAGGTAAATTGCAATGAATATAAATATATATCCAAAAATTCTAGACAAGGCTGGAACAGAAGGGACCGACTCTATAATGCTTTATAATTATCATTCCAAGAATCCCTTTGGCCTAGTACTGTTTAAGAGAAATTACATTCTTAGAATTATGTATTTATATGTAGGTAGTCTTTAAATACAAAACGAATAAACTCTATGATAAAGAATGTGGAATAAGAAAGTCTTATCTTTATAAGTAACTGCATATTTACAATGAATGTTCTGCCTGACTCCTAAAGGCAACAGTTCATATTACCTTAGGAGCCTTGTTTAGTTCAGAATCAGCCTGTCCCAGACTCTCTGCTCCCTGAAAAGCCTTCATACTTTGTGCATAAATATTTCAGAGTACAAGTAGGTGCACATGTGCAAAATGTATTTGTCTAAAAGAGCTAATTAACTTTATTTACTAATAAAGCTAAAACCCAGAAAATAAACAGCTATTTCCCAACCCAAAAAACACATCTAATGAAAAAATTGCTAAACCCACTCTGTAAAGGCAGCAGCTCTAAACTCAACTCTTCCTATGCCGTGCCTTCTTTGCTGTTAACCAGACATCGGAACACTAAATCCCTTCATGTTCACTTGGTTAAATGCAGACTTCTGATTTAGCTTGACTTTGTAGTCAGAGGCCAGACTAAACAAAATAATAAAGAATTCCTTCTAGGTATACTGTATCACAACTGCTGTACCTTGACAAGGGAATCACTTTATAATATGCCAATTATAATCACCAATCTAAATGTCTAAGGTCTTCTACTTGGATATGTCCCAACATTAGACCATTGAAAATATCAGTCAAACCCACAGTGATATATGTGCACCCATGTTCATAGCAGCACAGTTTGTAATAGCTAAAACTTGGAAACAGCCCAAATGCCCATCAACTGGAGACTGGATAAAGAAAATGTGGTTTTTTTATAAAATGGAGTACTACTCAGCCAAAGAAAATGAGAAATTAGAGACATTTATAGCTCAGTGGATGCACATTGAAGCAATACTCTTAAGTGAAATAAATAGGACACATGTGTATAAATACCGAATAGTTTCTCTGGTGTGAGAAACTGAAAGTGTAAATAAGGACTAAATGTATAATAGGTAATGTGAAATAGGAAGAAAAGGGGCAAAGGGGAAGGAAGTGGGAGGGCTAGGGGAAAGGATAGAAGGGAATGGGATTAATATGAGAAAATGGAAAAATAGGAACAAAATCTTTGTAAACAGGGAGGACTGGAGGGGTTGAAGGGAGGGCTGGGCAAGGGTGAAAACTAAGAACCAAGAGAGACTATGTAAAGGTGCAAATTTCCAATGATGAATGTCATTATATTGTATACCTAAAATGTACCAATTATTAGAATGAATAATCGATAATGTAAAATAGGAAAAAAAGGTCCAAAGGGTAGGGGTAGTGGGAGGGGCAGGGGAAAGGAAAGAAGGGAAAGGAAAAATGCTGAGAAATGGAAAAAATGGAAATAAAGTCTTTGTAAATAGGGAAGGGTGGAGGGCGTGAAGGGAGGGCTAGGAATGGGGAAAAAATAAGAACCAAGATGCATTATGTAAAGGTACAATTCCCAATGAGAAATGTAATTGTGTTGTATACCTACAATGTACCAATAAAAGAATTTAATAAAAAAAAAAGAAAGAAAATATCAGTCAAAGGAGAATTACATGTCAACTGCTAACACTTTAGATTGCATATGCAGAACTAGGGAGCAAAATTAAAGACTAAAAGCATGCTGTGGTGGCATATTCCTAGAATCCCAGCACCCAGGAGGCTGAGACAGGAGGATCACCAGGAGTTTTGAGGCCAGCCTGATCTACACAGTGAGTCTGAGGCCGACCAAGACAACACAGCAAGATCCTGTCTCAAAAAAACAAATTAAAAACTAGAGAGCTAACTGCTGTTAAGCATGACAGAAAGGTGACTATACAAAAAGACCAAAGAGGCTGACTCTTTAGATGTTCTTTGCTCTTTAAAGCAACAAGTATAGAATTGCCTCTGATCAAAATCTGAATATTGATTAGCATGTTTTCTCCTCCTACATCTATGAACCCCTGCCCCACTAATCTCTGCCATTGCCTTTTTAAGCTTAAAAGAGAGAAATAAAAGAAAATGGATATAATTATCCATTCTTATTTATGACAAGAGGCATATTCTAATAGTCATAAGGCAATGTGTTTAAGAACTGCACCTGAACTGATATTCTCAAAGCTGAAAATAGTTACCAACTCAACTCAACTTGTAGGGTGTATCCATGTGCTTCCCGAGTCATTAGCTGTCACCCAAATGGACCAGTGACTTCATCATGCCTTAAGGAGGCATTATACTGTGTGTAGTATGCACATGTATTTGAGAGAAATAACACTGAGAGGAAAAGGACAGCCTTGCAAACATCAGTTCCTTATATAAGTGACAACAGTGCTGTATGGCTCCCTTTTAATAACCTCCAAAAATTGACAAAAGGGCTAATGTCAGAGCTCCACGGTGAATTGTATCTTTCGGATGAGCCTTCAGTTCACTGATTTTAAATTACTGTTTCCCAATTTACTGAGGAGTGAAGGTGAGAATCATCCAACTGATGACAAAGTAGAATAGGAAAACAGGATACACAGCAAGGGCTTTTCGGTTTGGAGGCTGGCTATCAGCAAGAAAAGCTGTAGAGGCTAAACAAAACAAAAAGGAATATTTAATACAAGAATATTATCATAACCACTAATGTGAGTATGCTTGGCATAATCTGGAATATACAATTATACTAAAAGTTCAGTTCTATTTGTGACCCTCAGAGAATCACAGCAAAAGTTCAGTTATAGGGCTAGGGGTGTAGCACAGTGCTAAAGCTTAAGCTTAATACTTAAGCTTCTGTGAGGCCTTGAATTTGATCCCTAGCATAAAAATAAAAGTACACTGAGATTTGTGATCTCTTGTTTCAAGTACTAAAACGTCAGTTCTCAACCATCTTGGATAGAAGGGGTTTTTTTGTTTTGTTTTTCCTTTTGTAGCACTAAGAATTGAACTCAGAACTTTCACACTGACCTACATCCCTAGCCTCTTCTTCTTAATTTTGAGACAGGGCCTAAGTTGCTAAATCATGATTCTCCTGCCTCAGCCTCCCAGAGTGCTAGGGTTACATGGATGCCCCACTATACCCAGCTGGACAGAAACCTTTCTAAAAGAGGTTTCTTACACTTTTCTGAAAAGTTACAGAACTATACTTATAATGATGTGTAAGGTTATTTACTGTGATGGGAAATGGCCTCATTCTGCTCCATTTTTTTGAGTTATTCTTTGTAAGTTATCAGCTCTTTTAAATGCCATCCTTCTGGCCACCCAAGGAAAACCTACTCATCTTTTTACTCTTCAGTAATAACCCTCTCTAGCAGCCAGGCGAGGTGGCACACACCTGTAACCCCAGCACTCAGGAGGCTGAGGCAGGAGGCCTGCCACAAGTTTGAGGCCAGCCTAGGCTACATAGTGAGTTCAAGGCTGGCTTGAACCACAAAGCGAGACCCTGTCTCAAAAAACAAAAAGAATATCCCTCTCTAGAAAATCTTTCCTCAACTATCATTTGGTATCCTGCTATTCCAGGTAGAATTGCCTACTTCCCTCTTCTGAGTCCTCACTGTACCCTGCACAGACTTCCATCTCACACCCGAAACAGTGATGTCTTTAAGTGTTATGTCTGGCTGCCCTGCCAGACTATGAACTCCAAGGACCATGCCTTTTGCGGAGCACAGTGCCTCACACAGTTTGTGATTAATAAATATTTCCTGAATTAACACTCTTCTAAGATTCTCTTTTCTAATCTGCTGCGGGTCTGGGCACTAGGTAAATAAGCTAGTCAAAACTACATGTACAGTAATTATTAAACTCTAAATAATGGAATGAGGGGCTCTCCCATGGGAAAAATACCCACACTTAATATATAGTCTTTGCAACCGCAATTATGGCTCTTCTCAGACCTGTTTTTTCAATTACTTCTTAGTTTTCAACCATGTTCCAGAGTAATAAGATGTTACTATATTTAAAAATTAAATCAGAAGCTAGTGAACACTTCTTAAGCTAGAATTTAAAGAGAACTTTAGGAACATGAAAAAATGAGCATGTACCATTCATTGCCACTCTATAGGTCCTTCCTCATCTTTATTTTTTTTATTTTTTATTTTTTTATTTTTTTGGTACCAGGGATCAAACTTGGGACCTTGTGCTTATAAGGCAGACACCAGAACCACTGAGTTAAATCCCCAGCTCCTTCCTCATCTTTAGCAGAATTTTCTATTCAAGCAGAAAAGTACTACAGGTACTTTTTAAAGTCCCTAATCCAAAAAGCCAAAATGCTCCAAAACCTAAAATTTTCTGAGCACCAACATGCCACAAGTAAAAAAAATTCCACACTTGACCTCATGTGACAGGTTATCATAAAAACAGGTCCACTAAAAGTACTTTAGGGCTATGTTTTTAATCCTTTTTAAGGTGCCTATGAAACATAAATGAGTTTTATGTTTAGACTTGGGCTCCATCCCCAAGAGATCTCACTATAAATATGCACATATGCCAAAATCCAAAGGGGAAAAAAAAATCTAAACACTCCAGCCCTAGGCATTTGGGATAAGGGATACTCATCCTGCATACAATGATACTTGCTACCTGCACCAGAAGGTGGTATGGTATAGTTCCTAAGGGTGCATGATCTGTTTGGGTTTGAAACTTTACTCTCCTACCCACTAGTTATGTGTCCCAGGATAAGGCACTAAACTTGTCTGTGACTATCCCACATATGTATGATGGGACTAATAACAGCATTTGTCTATTAGGGTTGCTGTCAGATTAAAAAAATAATATATACAAATCACTTACAGTGATACCTGGCCTATAAGAAGCAATCTGTAAATACGATTATTTTTGTGATGATTTAGTTTATCAGGAAAAGGTCCAAGTCATTTAGTAAGTCATTTATGTATCACATGTATCAGGACTAAGTTAATCTGGTATAATTTACTTACCCAACTCTGTCCATTATTTAAGGAAAAAAAAATAAGGGACTCTCCACATCTTATATATCCAGATATCCAACTCAGATACAATGGGCATCATCCCTAGTGATGCCTACTTAGAGCAGGGGGTCCTATGGATGACACTGGCAGGAATCATACCACTCACACCTGACTTTGCTCCTGATCTGCTCTTCATCTTTAATTCATGTTTTGGTCTGTTCTACTATTATAGAGATAAGTACATACTTACCAACTATAGACCAGGCAAACATCACAATCACCACAAAAAGCCGAACCATGAAGTTTATTGGTCCTGGTTCTGCCAGAAGTACCAGGCGGCAAATCAGCATTGCCACTGTCAAAGGAAGTATACAGTAACCCAGCACACAGAGGCTCTGGAAAAAAGATCTAAAAACAGCATACATCCACAAAGATCATAAGTATGGCTGAATGATATCATGACATAGCTGATTACATAGACTCCTACACATCTGTTGTCTCCCTCCTGATACAATATACCAATACCTGAACATCAGTTTTGAGATTAGTCCTTTGTTTTAAGCACATGCTTTCATCTTCCTTACCCATATTCTTCCTCCTCCCCTCTTAAACCAGATAATCTATACTTAATACCAGATGATCTACCTCAACACCTAATACTAGATGATCTATCTTAATATCTAGAGACCGCTTCTTCCACTGAATCTCTAAGATGGTGGTTCTTAATCATTTCTAGCTACAAAACTATTTGAGAATTTCTGGAAAGCTAGGGACCATCAGTTCCCCCAAAATGTAAAACTCTGCCTGTGATTTCAGGGGCTAAAGAGAACATCTGAACCTTATCAATGGACACCCAAGTAATTTAAAGTAATTTAATTCAACTAGTTTATCTCTATTCAGTGGTTTGCAGAGAACTTTTCCTTTGGTGCTCATTTACTTTTTCTTTTTAAAAAATCTAAATAGCCTGGGTTCTTTAAAATATAAGATATGCTACCTAACAAAGGAAAAGAAAAGGTTCATTTTAATGATACTCACATATTTCCTCCAAGAAGTTTTGAGTTGAGGGTGATGGTGACTGCACCAAACCAGACAATGACAAAAACTTCTGCAAATTGGGGCCCTCCATCTTTTTCACTATCCACAGAGCCCCTCTGCAACATTCTGAGAAAAGTAAACAGTAGAATTGCCTAATCTTTTACTTAAGAGTAACAAAGTGAAGGTATGGGTTCTCAAACTCTGAACCAGAGTGCTGTGCTGTACCTCATCAGAATATCTATGATATGTAGGTCACACTGAAAGGAAAATGTCAAAAGTATTTGGCAAGGCTCCCTTATTTCAAATTCTAAATGCCTCAGGAGTATAAGGGGTGCTCCATTTGACTTTACTGGAATGTTTAATGGATGACTGAAGACCTTTTAGACAAATGTGGCTCGCAGACAAGGCTCTTGGTTCACACAATACTTAAAATAGTTTTTACTTTAATTTGACATTATTTTAAAATTGGGAGGTTTCACATATGTAATTCCTGGGCTGGGGATGTACCATAGTGGTAGAGCACCTGCCTAACATGCATGAGACCATGGGTTTGATCCTTAGTACCACAAAAGCCAGGGAGATGGGGAAATACATATTTATAGATTTTCTTCAAAATCCAGGTGACTTTCTCATGCTAAACCTACACTCTAACACAGCAACAATCAGGTGCAGCTAACCCAGAAGCAAGGTCAGGACCACGAATATTTAGGTTACTTCCCTATTAGACACATCTGATTGGTAATTCTTGAGTTGAGGTTTTAGGTCAGATACTTAAAAATAGAAATAGCCTATAAACCTATTTAATTGCTGTGTGTGTGTGTGTGTGTGTGTGTGATACTGGGGATTGAACCTACGGTCTTCTCACTGAGCTACATCCCCAGCCCTTTTTGTATTTTTTAAAAATTTTGAAACAGGGTTTGGCTAAGTTTCTAAGTTGCCCAGGATAGGCTTGAACTTGCAATCTTCTTGCCTCAGCCTCCGAGAATGCTGGAATTACAGGTATGTACTACTGTGCCCAGTTAGTTGTTAATTTTTTTAAATCAAAATATACAGATCATTACTAAGTGAATTTGCTTTGAAATTAAGTAGTTGAACAGTCACTTAAATATCCTTTATCTAAGAATCTTACAGATGTAGAAAGGTTTGAATCTGGATTTAGAATACTTGGATTTGGGTTTTTTCCAGAAAAATGATAAATGATAGAAAGCTCATAACCTCCTCTTATTACATAGCATGGAGAAGTCACACAGTAAGTCTTGGCCAGCTATGCTGCTTGTCAGTATGTACAAAATTTTAAATTCTATAGCTGTGCATATTCCAAGTCCTGACAATCAGATGCAAAAAAATATGCCAGCACTTATTTATTGTCTGGAATCTCTATTGCTTTAGCATGATATGACGGAAAGGATATTAAATACTCTGAAAGGCAGAAGACCCAGACACTGATCCTAGTTCTGTCACTAGATGTCTTGGGACTCCAGTTTTCTCTGCAAATTAAGTAGGGTTAAGAGCTTCTAATATAAACCCTTCCATCAAGACACTGAACTGATTCCCTTGATATGGTTATTAAAGAAATAAGAAAGAAAACTACATTATGATCTAAATTAGCATATGCTCAATTTAAATTGAAAAATCAGAGCTGGGAATGTAGCTCAGTGCTGGGAATGTAGCTCAGTGAAGCACTTGCCTACCATGGGCAGGCAATAGGTTTTGATGCCCAGTATGGGGGAAAAGAAATTAGAAGGGGCTGAGGATGCCGGGGATGTAATTCACTGGTAGAATGCTTGACTAGCATGAACAAGGCCCTGGTTTGCTCCCTAGTACCATGAAAAACAAAAAGCAAAAAAATTAAAGAGCCAAAAAGGAACTTACTGTGATTAGAACTATAAAGGATTAGGCCCATCAAGCAGCTCCTTTTAGATATGGAAGAGGAGGCCCAGAAGGTTAAGTGGGAAGAAGTGTAATGATAGAGGCAGAGAACAGGCAGTCAGAAACTTGAGGTTGAATTCTAGGTCTACCACTGATTATATGGTCTTGGTTAAATAAACAACCTCTCTGAACCTGAGCTTGTTTGTCAAAAAGAAAAAATAATACTAAGTCCTTATTATGAGGATAAAATAAGAGACAATATTTTAAAAATTTCTATAAACAGGGAAAAATCATTTTACAAATTTCAGTTATTAATAGCCCAAAGTCACACAGATAGCTAATAGGACAGCCAGGATAACAACCCAGAACTGCATCCTAGTGCAGTATTTTTCCCACTCTATCAGTGGTTATATGTCTGCCCCTCTTCAATGGAACCTTCCTCTCCTGTCCTTCCTCTTTGTACACGCCATATACAGGAAAGCATAACAGTTTGAAACATGATCTAGCTTTTAACTCTACTGTTTGTATTCTGATTTATTCTCATTCATATTTTACTAAGAGCATTAATATTGTAAAGAGCATTAATTATGCTTTTAAAACTATAGCTGTTTCTTTCATTTGGTTTAATAATGGGGAGGTAATGACAGCAAATAAATATTTGTTGAATAGACATGACTAAAACAGACTAAAAAGCTGGGAGTGGTGACACAAGCCTGTAATCCCAGCACTCGGGAGGCTGAGGCAGGAGGATTGCTGCAAGTTCGACACCAGCCTCAGTTATGTAGTGAGTTCAAGGTCAGTCTGAATTGCATAGGAGACCCTGTCTCAAAAAAAAAAAAAAAAAAAACAGAACAAAATAGACTAAGAAGTCATTGTTGTAAACAAAAATGGCCATACTTTTCACATCTTTAATTCCATCATTTTCAATTGATCTGGAAAGCTTCTTGACTTTCTCCATTAAATACATAAGGAGTACAGTAAGCTGCAAAAGTCCTAAGTAAAATACTTAAGTCAAAATTTCCCTCAATTTTGAAACTCCATTAAAAAAAGTCTAGTCTGGCTCAAATGACAAATAAAAGAAATATAAATACTCACAATGCAAGTGTCACACAAAGGATCAGGGGACCCCACAAATCCCCTACAAGGCAAGGAAAGACAAAACATTACTAAGAAACACACGTGTAATATTTTTCTATCTTTATTCCAGTATCTACCTCCCATTCTTAGAATCCAGACATCCAGGTTCTCTGTGTTTGCTCAAATCTTCTCACCTCTCCTATTCCCCTACTCTCTAATTCTGAATATAGTTTTTCACATATCCGTTAAGTTTTGTTCAGTTCATACCCCACAAATCACTCCTCTCCCTACCTACTAGGCCACATTCCAGTATGGAATTAAAGACCAATGGGCCAGGAGTTGGAAGAACTAGGTGTCCCACCCCACATCCTCAGAAAAAAGATTACTGCCACATCAGTTCATCAACATGAGGCTGTATTAGACAGACAAGGCAAAGACCATCTTGCTCATTTCACAAATATAAAACATGGAACTCAGAAGGAAGTGACTTGCCCAAGTTTATAGGTAGAGATGGGACCAGAACATGGGACTGCTGATTCTTAGTCCAAAATTCTTGCAACTATCCCAGACTGCTTCCCTTTTATAATAATTATTATTATATTGAATTAAAGGATTGCATCTCGGCCTTTTGGCTAAGATCAAGTGTATATTGAACTAAAGGAATTGGTGTTCTAGGTGAAAAAATAACCCTCAGTACTGGTAATTTCACAAGGTTAAACTTCAACAAATGACATGTGAAAGCTTTCTGAAAACTATAAAAGGTTCTGCCAACATCAGATCCAGCAAACAGTGATCCTCAATCAATAGGTGAGTGATTAGTATGTCAACAGTTCAGCAACACACAGCTTTAGAGCAAAATTATGTTCCTCAACTAACCCCAAAAAGTGTATACATTCCAAGGGCCGAGAATGTAGCTCAGTGGTGCCGCGCCTGCCTGGCAAGCGTGAGGTCCTGAGTGCAATTCCTGGTACTGAAAAAAGAAGTATATACAAACCACACCTAATCTGAATCTCATATGTACATAACTTTTCCTGAGGTAAACTTGGCTTTTTTCTCAGTTATATAAGTAATTTTGACTCCAATGTGGTTTGGAAGACAGGTAAAAACCATAATCCTACCACTCTAATAAAAGTATTGATCTCATTAAATTTTAAAATATTAATTGAAGAAATAAATTTAAGTAAAATGACATTAATACAATTTTTAATCTACTGAAGATTTTTAATCCATAACTATTTTAGCTATTTTCTATTGTTAAAAAATATTTAACACAATATGTACCATTTTAACCATTTCTAAATATACAGTTAAGTGGCATTAAGTGCACATTGTTGTACAAACACCACCTCCATCCCTCTTTAGAACTTTTTCATCTTTCCAAATTTAACTCAGTCTTTTTCCATTGCTGAGACAAAATACCCGACACCCAAAGTTAAAGGAGGAAATGTTTATTTAGCTCACAGTTTTAGAGGTTTTAGTCTATAAGGCAGGGTGGATGGCAGACAGGCATTGCAGAGGAGAAACAGTTTATGTTGCTCACAAGGTAGCAAAAGCAACAAGAGACTTTGACAGCATCTTTCTGCCCCTTTTATCTTATCCAGACTACTTAGGACGGGTAGCAATTACACCTTTAACCTTAGTGCCCTTGAGCCTATCATTGTACCATGAATCAATTTTAGTATCATATACTCTAGATCCAGCCACCTCTGAAAAAGCCCCACCTATGACTGACTACATGAGACTTTAGGGGGACATCTAAACACTAGCCGTAACACTCACTAAATAATAACTCCCCATTCCTACCCTCACAAAAGCCCTAGCTACCACCATTCTATTTTCAATCTCTATGAATCTGACTAGTCTAGGTATCTAATGATATCGATCATATATGTCCTTTTGTGTCTGGCTTATTATCACTTAGCAAATGCTGAACAACATTCCATTCACATATGGTATATAGTATAGTATACCACATTTTGTTTATTCATAAATTTGGGTTGTTTCCACCTTTTAGCCACTATAAATAATGCTGCTATGAACAAAAGTATAATTCATTCAAGTCTCCGCTTTCAATTCTTTTGGGTATTTATCTAGAAATGGAATTACTGGATCATATTCTATGTTTAATTTTTTAAGGAACTGCCATACTGTTTTTCACAGCAACTGTACCATTTCATCTTCTCATCAGCAAAGCAAAGGGTTCCAATTTCTCCACTTCCTTCCCCACACTTGCTATTCTGTTTTTTGGGGGGTTTTTTTCTGGTACCGGGGATCAAACTCAAGACCCTGTGCTTGTGAGGCAGGCGCAGCACCACTGAGCTACATCCCCAGCTCTGTTTTCTTCATAATAACTATCCTAATGGGTGTAAAGTGGTCCCTCATTGTGGCTTTTTTTAAAAAACAATTTTTAAGGCATGATTTTTCCCCTGCCACTTTGCCATAGGTTGTGATAACAGAGTAGAGCAAAACTACAAAAGTACAAATTTCCAGTCATGACTTGGCCTTATTTTAGCCTATCTTTCTTTCCCTACAAGGTTTGGGAGTAGACCTTCACATATGAAATAGTTAATATACATCATTAATCAGCTAATGCATATCATTAATTGAACTAACACATTGGTTCTGCAGTGTGACTGGAGCCACCATGCTTTGAACTGAGCCACAGCAGCACCTGAAAGGATATCTTCACATCTGCAACAGTAATAAAGCAGAAAGGGTACTGAACTAATCCTGCCTGTGAGATCTTGACAAGTCTTGGAGAGCTTCTCTGAAACTCATTTTCGTGTCTGTAAAAGAGGAATAACAGCTTCCACTTCACAAGGTGGTAGCAAGGATTAAATAAGATAATATGCACATGTGTACATGGGGGGGGCACTAGAATAATAGCTACCATTTATGGAGTGCCTACTGAATGTCACATGCCATACTAGGTGATTTATATGTGTTATCATCTCCAATCCACATCTGCAAGATACATGTTATCTCCACTTTAACAGGTGAAGAAACTTGAGCCCCAGAAGTCAATTCTTATTCAAGATCACAGACCTAATCATGGAACCACTATTCCAACCTAGATTTGCCCATGCTTTTTCCAATACACCAGTGATAGCAAATCAGTCTTAAATCATGTGTCAGCTCCAACTCACAGTGCAGAAAAATTTGGATGCTGCCTCCTGTCTCCACAGAGTAACAGCGCACTTGCCACTTATTTGACATCCCTGTATTACAGCTGAAATGTTGCTGAAATAGAAGGTACACTCATGTATGGCATCATTGTTACTATTCTCAAATGACTTGATTTTCTGATAAAGAATAATATGAAAACTGACTGCTTGAAGAGTGAGAAACATAAGAATTTTAAGAAAAAAATTATAATAATTTATTGTGGTTTTGATAGAAACTTAACAAAGAAAGCAGTCATCATACTAAATGATAGTCTTGAAAATAGAAGCGTCAATGAAGATACTATTAATTTGTTAGCCATTAACAGGTATTTGCTATTATTCTAATTTAACATTTAAACATTTGCTTTTCCCTTGTTAGTTCTTTGCTTGAACAAAGTCCCCATATGTTAGCAGCTTCTGTAAATATTTTTTGGCAACATCTGCTAGAGCATTTTCCAGGTGAGGGTAAATAGTCTTTATTTGTTGATAAAGATAATATAATAAGAAAAATCTTCTAACCCCTCAATTCCATTCTAAATTTCTTCCAAAATTTTCATTTACATATACATATTTTCATTCTGCAAAATGATGTCAGTTTTATTACCACAGTCTTTGCCTTATAAAGTACTAATGATAAGGTACAATGAGATGAAACAAACCCTGAGAAATTTCATGTACTTACAATCTCTCAAAAGAGTGTTACTTTTTCTTGGATATAAAACGTGCATGAATTTTTTCCCAACAGCTTTTAGATCACGCATCTGAAAGACACAAATAACTTGTTATACTGCAATAACCAAGGTTGCCAGGTAATCCCTTCACTTATTTGCTAAAAATTTTTTTTCAGTCTCCTAGGAGCTAGCTCTTTATTGAATTTTGGAGTTAATGTCAATTCAACCCTTTCACTATACAACTAAACCAAAGAGGTGAGCGTATGGTTTTTCTGTTAACTCCTTAAGTCAACATCCAACACTTTTCCACAACTACCAGTTCTATTTTGATTTTGACGACTCTGTAAAGAAAAACAGCCCTCCCAATATGATACTTAAATAATATCATTAAAATAATATCATTATGAAAAGCTGCTCTGCAAAACACAGAATGTGACATTCAGCTCATACATGATAAGGTCCCAAGGGCCAATTTAGTCTGCTTCCTGGCTACCATTCTTTGTAACATTCCAACATTCACAATTTGATAAATGAATCAGTCAAGACATTTAAGGAAGGGTTCGGTAATGCAAATATAACTTCTCAAAATACACTGGAGATTATTCTGTCCTAGATCTTCATTTTTAATGGTTGGTATTCCATCAGGTGTACATAACATATTCAACTTAACCAATATAAGTTGTTTCCAACTTTCTTCTATTACAGAGAATGCTACAATGAACACCTTTGTATACTGAATTTTTCTGTTAAAATTACTTTTAACTTTTTAATTTTTCATTATCTACAGAGAAGTAAAATCATTTTAAAATTTTGGACATTTTAAGATTCTTAGTATCCATTATAGCCAAACTGCTCTTCAAAGATTGTGCCAGATTATTTTCTAGGAGAGAATCTTAAACTCCAACAAATAAAATATAGTGAAAATCATGAATCAAACAAAAATATTGCAGTTATTTAGTCCTGTGATGCTGAAGAGAAGTTCTCTCATACTAGGCTAACTTACGATAGTATTCTGAACAGATTCGTTTAATGTGGAGCTGTCAAATTCTCGACTGCGAGATCTCATAGGAATGGTGATTTCTCCTTCTATCGGGATGTCTTGTGAGATAGATATATCTGAAAGGCCTGCAAACTGAGAAGTGATAGAGGGAAAAATTAAATCTATAATACATTGAAGCATTCCTCAAAGACATCATTTCCTAGAGTAGGGACCACGTCTTTTTGTAGGGTTTTGCACAGTAGTTAAAAGTAGGCGTTAGCTCAACAGGATCTAGCATTCACTTAGGTCACATTTCTACTGCATTTAGGTTCCTTAGATGGCTTTAGTGGCCTCTGCTGGATAAAAAAGAGTATTACATGAAATGTAAATGGAAACAGTAATATAAATACCTTGATTTATATTCTATTTACCAGACTACCTGGCAACCACACATCTGATAAAAATTTAAAAGTGAATAAAGAATGTGAATTTTAAACTCTTATGTTCATCTGCTAAATTTGATTATCATGACTGAAACTCTAGAATTTACAAATTCTAAGAAAACAGAAGCAATCTTTTCTCATACAGTTTTTGGCCCAGTGGGCACAATTTTTAGTGGGCAACTGTTGTAGATAAATGAAACACAAGACAATACAGTAAAATTTTAGAAAGAATGAGGTTTTTCCAAGAGCTTATGAAAATAACTTCTCAACCATGCTCATAACATTTTTAAAAAACACTGAATGAGCTCTGATTTCTTTTAAAGGTTTCCTATAGAGAAAAGAAGGGAATGAAGTGGTACAGCAGATGAAAGATAGGCTTCTTTGAATAGACACTGTTCTCTGTATGACGTGAAATCATTTAAGACAGTTCACATAATCACAAAATAAAATTGAAATTTAAATGAAGCAATCCCTGAAACAAATATTAAACAAACCTACAGTATAGAGAAAAAAATACACAATGACACAGAGAACAACTACTTTAAATAACTTCTAATGCTGTAATTTGACTACCAACTAGATAGAGCAAGCTGAAAAGCATATTTCCTCACCAGAACAATGAGAAAAGACTAGACACAAAATTACGATTTTTCTTGAAGCTATCGGAGAGCTGAGGTGGCAGGGCAACCAAGCAGCCTGGATGTGAACTATAAGGAAAGACAAATGCTTCCAAGCAGAGACAGGACATCTGCATCAGCTTCACTGTAGTTTTCATGAGAAGACAACACTGGGCACTACACAGATGGGGAAGAACTCAGCTAAAATTTTAAATAAATTGGTAAAGTATGAAATTAAAAAACCCCTGAAAGTAACAGACACAAAGAGTGCTCACAGCCACTTGCAGGCTGTTCTGTAGACTTCCACTGGGTGCTCACAAGAAAGAGTAGATGGAGGGCAATGCTACAGATGTAAGGGAAGGAAGCAGCTACCATTGGAAAAAAGCACAGAACTCCATCTAGGCCTTCCTCTCAGATAGGAAAAGAGCCCTAAAGCTGCTTGGGAAAAGACAACAAATTTCTTGCTTCCAGAGCACAGGCAAAGAAAGATTCATTGTGCCTAGCAAAAAGGAAAAGAAAACTATCTCTACTCCCGAGGGAGCGATAGGACACCATTCTGGACCCAAGCCATTAGTTTCCTTCAGCTGGGGAAGAAACAGGATCACTGAGAGAGTGCCACTTAGGAAAGAGAGACACATGGCAGTGCTAAGGTAAAGGCTAGACCATGAAAACAAGGAATCATCCCTACCCGTCCCTACGATCAAGCTACCAAACAAGGAGTAACAAGCAACAGCAGTCTACTGTTGGGGGAGGGGCAGTGGCGGTGAACCTATGACACGCGTGCAACATCAGGCTGTTTGTATCATTGAAAGCTCTAAAATGTTCACCATCATTGATCTAGGAGCTTCAAGAGAACCACTATGAGACCCAAGGCCAAAAGCAGACAATGAACAACAGAACATTCAGAAAAACATTGCAAACAACCAAGCACCCACCCTAAGCCCAAGGTGACAGTAGAGAATTTGAAACTGATGATGCTTTGAAGGTACCCTCAGCAAAAATAAAACCCATATAAAACTCAACTCCTGACTAAATTCCCAGTGACAACTTAGCAAGTGAGATCACTTCTGGCAGTCTCTTGTTATATACATAATATACAACATCCAATAAAAAATTAGCTACACACACACACTCAGAGCAATCAATAAAATCAGGTTTTCGAGAGGACCCAGATACTGGAATTATCAGTATGCATGGAATGCACTTAATCTCAATAGCTGAGGTGATTTAAAAAGAGGCTAGCCAGGCATAGTGGCCCACAACTGTAATCCTATTAGCTACTTGGGAGGCTGAGGCAGGAGTATCATAAGTTCAAGACCAGTCTGGGAAAAATAGAGAGAACCTTTCAAGAGAGGGAGAGAGGGAAAGAGAGAGAGAATATGAGAATACTTATTGTCTGATCACTGTGTACCAGGTGCTCTAGTAAAAGTGTTAATTCATTTAATCCACTAACAACCCAATGAACTAAGCATTGCTGTATCTGTAAAACTTAGATGGGAAAACAGGCACAGAGGGTTTAGTAATTTCCCCCAATATCCCAATATCCCCAAGTGGCAGTGCTTAGAATTAAACCTAGGCAATCTGACCTCAGAATACACATTCTTAACCACAATTCCATACTGCCTCCCTGATTCAGTAGGCCTACCTTTTAGGGCTTGCCTCCTAATAATTCCCTAGACCTTTGCCAAAGTGACATTATTCTATAAACACATCAACACTTTCTAATCTCTGTGCCTTTGTCCATGAGAAGCTATGTAACATCAGTGGAAATAGTCCAGGTGTCAGACCAAGGTTCAAAGTTCTCGCCTGGCCACTAACTGGATGCAGATTCTAAGGAAGTTAAACCTCTCTGTATCTCATTTCTTCATCGTAAGTAAAAAATAGGTAAAAGCTACCTAATTAAAATGGTTGCTATGAAGTTTAGAAAATATGCACAGATGTTTAGCACAATGCCTGGCATACAGCAAATGCTCAATCACTGATAACGCTTACAGTCACCTGGAATTTTAAATCCTACCCATCCTTTGAGGCCCTCTCAAATATAACTTCTACCATGAAGCTTGATCACCCCAATTGGACACAACAGCATCTTCTTTTTAATTTCATGTGTAATTTTTCATGTGTTATTTTCTCTTATGTACAGCCTTATTTTAGCAGTGTATATTTGTATCATTCCTAGAAATTAGACCATAAGCACCACAAACTAGCACAGTGCATTATACATTACGGGGGTTCAAGAAACATGTGCTGAATAGAAGCAGATTGGATACTGAGTAATGAGTGACCAGAACCACTGAATTAATTATGAAAGCTTCATGGAAGGGGGGGGGGTGGATGAAAAACTAGCTAGCTGTTAAACAGCTAGGCATTTCTAACTATACCACGACACTGTGTATATTAGCTCAGTCAGTCCCCTCACTAATTCCATGATGAATTTCTATCACTATTTTCCAAATAAGGAACTAGTTTTCATTCCACATGCTAGGCTAGCACTCTATCCCTATCCCCCACCTGATTCTTCCATTGCTATGTACCCAATGGCTGAGAGTGCCAGGAACACAGTGGATGCTCAATAAATATTTGCTGAAGGAAAGAAGTGATGAACAAATAGAGCTAGGAAACAACAGGAGTAGAATGAAATTCAATTGACCCCCAGTTCAGTTCTCCACTATGTTAAGATGCCACTTTAAAACAGGAAACAGAAATATTATTTATTAAATAAGTACTATATAACTATACACTCTTTGGGAGTAGGGACATTGGGGCAGAACATTGATTTAGACTCCTCAGTTCATGGCACTCATTGTATTAGCCACATTACGTAAGTTACATCATTTGATCTTCCTAAAAGCTCTTTGAGACAGGTATTTTCATCTCCATTCAACAGACTATGAAGAATCATCCTCCATGAAATGACTTGCCCAAGTTCATATAAGCAGTAGCAGAATGGGTGGATTCTAGCCCAGGTAAGTTTAACAGTAAAGCTTGGGTTCTCAAACAGTAACAAGCTTCGGGCTTTGTACTGATAGTAGAAATTCTGTTCCCTCCAAGAGAGTATCCTGAAGAGGATGACAAGGAGCTAGGATTAAACTTAGCCTACTAAGGTCATTGAACAAGTAAAGATTCAAGTTATAAGCAATAAAATGTCAAACGACCGATGGGAAGCAGTCCCTCATTACTTCTAGAATGCTGCTGCTCCAACAAGGGCTGGTGACCAGTCGTGATAAAATCAGGGAAGAGTGTAAGAAAATATATCACCTAAAGCTCGGCATTTAACACAATGTTAAGGGACGAGGACAAGCCCTGCGGTATAAGTCAGGAAAGAGGAGAGGAGTTTCACCAGAAGACTAGAAAGCACTAAGGCGGGGGGGGGGGGGGGGAGCAGTTACCCACGGAACAGGTGCAGTGTTGGGACTGGTTCTAGCAAAGCGCCTGGCGGGCGAAGGGGCTCCAGCTCTCTTGGGCTACAAGCCCGTCCCCCGACTTCCTTAGGGGGCACTCTGCCTCACCCTTGGTCCCTTTTGTCGCAGTTCCCAAGCTCACCAGGGGCCTGGGCGATGCTGTCCCCGGATCTCCCGGAGACTCCGCCACTTCCGCCATCTTGGCCCTCCTTCTCTCGGGTCGCTCCCACAGGCCTTTGCGAAACCTGAGACGTGGAGGCAGCGGTCGCGGCCCGCTGCCGCGTCATCGCGCAGGTGTCGCGTCATGGAAAGGCGCCGGGCAAGGGCTGGTAGCCCTGGACAGGTCTCCGGATCTTGTGCAGTCCTTGGGTCTCGGGGTGTTGGGGAGAGTGCAGCTCGGCCGGGCTAGACACATTCTGCCTTCAACGCTCTACCTGGATTCCCCAGACCGCGGCTCTCTTCCCTGCCCATCCCTTCCCAGTTCTCAGGAGTTGGCTCCCAGTGCCAGAATCCCTAGCACAGCGCTTCCTAGGAAAGTCGTGTTCCCTCTCTCACCCTGCCGCCTAACAATTTACTTGCTCCTAATAAAGAGACCAGCCCTTCCCTGACCAACTCCAGCCCCCGCTGTCGCCCCTGCCTCGCTATTTCCCTGCGTTTCTCATCCAGCTACCTAGCTGCTTCCGCCGCCGTGCTTTTAGAAATGTCCGTACTGTCTCCGTAGCGACCCTCTAAAAGGAAGGGAGGGAAGGAAAAGAAAAGAAAAATCCCATAAGTCCCAACCTTGAGCTTTCATAGAGTTTCTGACTCCCACCTCATCCCAGGTCTCATTTTAGATGAGGTCAGACAATGCAGCCATTGTTGATGCACTCAGTGTTCTGGATCCGTAAGTGCTCTTTGGGGGGTGTGAATACTGGACCAGCTTAAGCATTTAACCATTAGGGTAAGAAATAGGTATGAAATAAAGTCCTTTATATTTTTGCATAAGCAATCCAGGAAAGCACCAAAGTACTGTGGTAAACTTAAGGAAAAACGTGGAGGAACAAAATTCCCAAACTTAATGCAGCTTTTGGGGAGTATTGTCATTTTGTTTTGTGTAAGTGTTGTTACAGTATTTCAGACCAAAATCATTTCCAGTACTTGCACAACTACTGGTGGACATGATATTAAAATTTTGGCCAATTGGACCGGGGATTTAGCTCAGTGATTCTGCCACCCGCCTCGCAGGCTCAAGGTCCTGAGTTCGATCCCCGGTACCAAAAAAAAAGAACGAAAAAAGGACAAGAGAATATTGTGTTCAACTGGTTCAAGCCCAGCCTAGGCCTTCCTCCCCATTCTCCCTCCCCTTACTTTCTCATTTATTATCCATCACCAAGTCCCTTCCCACTTCCCTGAAGCCCTTGATAATAACCTCTTCTATTTCCTTTGCCAAGCTCTAAAATTAGTTATCTCTCTCTAACCACAAAACCCCAACCTCTCTACCCTAACCTCGTTTCTTGGCCTCTTAACCACTTGTTTCAAGATAGCCTTAAGAGGAGGACAGGCCATAAAATGATCAAGCCAGTCAATGTTCAGTTTACAAACTATCAACGATCATTCTGTTTATGTAACAAAAAGGGTACTCGTTGGGTATGATGCACCAAAGAAACACAGGTAGGAAGGACGATTAAAAAGAAGGGGGCTGCATAGGAACAAACTCCTAAAATAGAAATTATTCTGCTTTTAGTTATAAATATATCTCACAAAATTAACAAATTAACTGAGTATTATTTAATACAATTACTCGTTACCTTCTGTCAGAGCACAGACATCTGCAGTACAGCAAGACTTACCCAAAGTTGCTCAGAAACTTTGTAGTGGGGGTGGTGGGGGTGGAGAGATAGCTCAGTGGCACAGTGCCTGCCTGCAAGCGCAAGGTCCTGAGTTCGATCCCTAGTATCAAAAAAAAAAAATTGTAGTAGAAGTGGGATAAATATTTAAACCAACAGGCATGGAGAATTTTATTGATTATTATAAATTTCAAGTTATTGTAATGTAAAACTGAAAACAATGAAAATATTGAGGAAATAGTGTCCTAGAAAAAAAACAGCCAAAATTGACTCAGGAAGAAAGTAGGGAATTTTCATAGAACAAAATTTTTGAAAGAAAAAATTTAAAATATATAAAAGCAAGATGCTGAACAGGTTTTATAGTTTGGGTGAAAAAGTAAGGGAACTGGAAATATATGAATTGCTCCAGAAGGAAAGCTTCACAAGAAAATGGTTGCCTCTGGAGAAACAAGGTCTGACAATATGGGATGAATTGACTTTTAGGGAAAGAATGGCCCATTGTATAACCAGGAGGACTATTATTGTGGATCTTTCATGCAGTTTCAAATATATATATATATATATATATATATATATATATGTTATTCTTTTTTAAACTGCCAGAGATCTATCCTCCCCTCCGCTGCCAAAGTGCTGCATGAAGATGGTTTCAAAGGCCATTTATTCATGGCTTCAAGGAACAGATAATTCCTACACTGTATAAATGTTTCCAAAGAAAGAAGAAAGTTTATAAACCTAGGGACCTAGTGCAACCATGGTATTAAACTTGACAAAGATAGTACTAAAAAGAAAACTATATGAGTCACTTATTAACATAGGTAAAACATCTTTAACTGTTAGCAAATACTGTAAAGTCTGCAGAATAAGAAAATAATAATACCCTGGGTCAAATAGAGTTTTTCTCATAAATCTAGTTAGTTCTGTGCTCGCTTCACCACACATATACTAAAGTTAGTTCAAAAGCGGTAATGCAGTGATGATAACTGATCATTTTAATGGGTCAAAGAAAAACATCCATCATTTTGATGCTGAAAACTTCTACTTCCTTATCTGGAAATGAATATATAAATGAAGTAGACCTGAAAGGGTACTTACTTAACATGACAAAGAATTATCTGTCTCCAAACCAATACTAACATGATGTAGCTGGCCTATTAATGCCAAGAACTAGGCAAGAATGCCTGTGAGTTACTGGGAATTGAAGCCAGTGCCTTTGCACACCCTACCCCTCCCTAAATTGCTAAACTGTCCAGGGTGGGCTCAAACCTGTGATCCTCCTGCCTCACTTCAGGAATGTGCCACCATGCCACCAGGGATCGAAGCTATTATTCAACACTGTTGTGGAAGTGCTAGTGTCCTCATGTCTTTTTACCTCTAGAGGTACTTGGGACTTTTGATTGAAGGCCTGTGCAAAAATACAGAGCACTCAACTTTACCTCTTACGTATCTCCTATCTTGTTGGTTAAATGGAACAGGTATGTTAACCTGAAAGGACACACAAGTAACCTGAATACTGACTGCATCCACAGTTGCTTTATAACCTGACCTCTTAGCCCAGTGATGAGGCAATCGTGAGCACTGAGGAAGCCCAGGGATAAGGTACATGGTAGAGAGGTGAGGGAGATAAATTAGCCTGGAGATTGGTATGGGAATAATTATAAAACCTCAGAGAAATGTAAAAGGACTAGTGAACAGTGTAAGTTGCCAGCTGGGCCAGGGCAGGAATGGGGAAAGGAAAGAGGTAGAAGTACATAGAGGATTTAGGGAGGGGTTTATAACTAATTCTCTGAGTCTAGAGAGCAGAGAAACTACAGAATCTGGACCAGTATGATGCAGTATGATGCTTCAACAAATCCATACAATGTGTTCTGATCAAATTAGGGTAATTAGCATTTCCATCTCATAATTTCTTTATATTTGGAGGCTTTCAGCACCTATCTTCTAGTTTGCTATAGTTTATATCTTGAAAGTCCCTGGAAGGCTCATGTGTTTTAAGGATTGGTCCCCAACCTGTGGCACTATTGGGAGGTGGTGGAATCTTTAGGAGCTGGGAGCTAGTGTAAGGAAGCTAGGCCATTGGAAGCATGGTCATTAAGGGAATACTGGGACTCTGGTCCCTCCATTTCTTTTGCTTCCTGGCTACCATGAGGTAAGTATCCTGCTTTGCCATGTACTCCTGCCCTGATGAACTCCTGCTTTGCCACATGCCCAAAAGCAATGGGACAACTGATCATGGATTGAAACTTCAGAAACTGCAAGCCAAAATAAACCTTTCCTCTTTTAAAGTTGATTATATCAGAGATTTTGTTATACTAATGGAAACTGACTAATGCGTTGTTCTTTATAAAATATATAAAAGGTTATAGTCATCTATAGTCAACCTTTTCAGCTACAGAAACACCAGTGTTTATTTCTTCTGCCCAGCCATTTTATTTCTTTTTTTTCCAATTTTTGGGGTTTTTATTTGTTCATTTGTTTGTTTGTAAGTTTTTTATTTTTTATTAGTACATGTTTGCAGTGCATAATGTTCACATTCATCCTAGGGAGTAGGTATATGTAATTAACATATCATAATTATTTTTATTACCGTTCCTCTCCCATCTATCTCCAGATTCCCTTCCCATTTGCAAAGGATCTATCTCCTCATTTCCTATCACCTATCTTGTTTTTTAAATTATTTATACTTTGGGTTTCTCATATAAGAGAAACTATGCAATATTTAAGCTCATGTGTCTAATTTATTTCACTTCATATTATGGTCTCAAGCTGAATCCATTTTCCTACAAATGACTCAAACTTACTCAACTTTTTGGCAGAGTAGTACTCCACTATGTATTACATACCACATTTTCTTTATCCATTCATCTTTTCATGAATATATAGGCCACCTATAAGATTTAGCTATTATGAGTTGTGCTGCTATAAACATGGGTATATCACAGTGATAGAATATCTTTAAATCTTTGGGGGAAGATACCTAGAAGGTGATTACCTGGGTCAAATGGAATCTCTATACTGATTTCCATAGTGGTTGTATTAGTTTATATTTCTACTTAGAATTTGCAAAGAAGTAAAAATGTACAAGGATTCCTTTTCCCCCCCCAAAGCCTTGCCAGCATTTGTTAGTTTGATTTTTTAAAACTAATTTTATTGGTACATTTTTATATACATAATGATCACATTCATCATAGGGAATTTGTACCTGTACATAATATATCTTGCTTCTTTTTTCCCCATTCCCTTCCCCTCCCTTCAACCCTTCTTCCCTCTATTTACAAAAGCTTTGTTTCCATTTTTTTCCTTTTGTTCTCTTTATTTTTCTTTTCTATTGTTTGATTTTTTAATGATAGCTGTTCTTTGTGGAGTGATATGGAATTTCAATGTTCTTATAATTTGCATTTATCTGATGGCCAAAGATGTTGAGCATTTTTTCATGTATTAATTAGCCATTTGTACATCTACTGAAAAGTATCTCTTCATTTCAGATGCCTGTTTTTGGATTGGACCACTTATTTTGAGGGAGCAGAATTTCTCTTTTAGTTTTTTATAAATTCTAAATATTAGTCCTCTGCCTGAGTGGTGGCAAAAATATTTTCCCATTGAGTAGGTTGTTTTTTCATTCTATTGATTGTTTCCTTTGCTGTTCAGAAGCTTTTAGGTTTGCTACAATCCCATCTTTGATTCTTGGTGATATTTCATGTGCCTTTCTTGAGGCTATCTTCAAGAGTCTTACCTATTTTATCTTCCAGCAGATTGTTCCTTTTTTAACTTTTAGATCTTTGATTTACTTTTATTTTACTTTGGTACATGGTAATAGACTCAATTTTCTGCATGTGTGAAACCTATTTTCCAAGCACCATTTGTTAAAGTGGCTATCTTTCTACTAGTGTACGCTTTTGACTCCTTTGTCAAAGATCAGATGACTTAATGTGCCTGGGTTTGTTTCTTCATCTATTCTTTTTTTTTTTTTCTCTTGTACCGGGGATTGAACTCAGGACTTCGAGCCTACCAGGCAGGCTCTGTGCCACTGCACTAAGTCCCTGGCCCCTCTTCTATTCCGCTGACCCCACATGTATGTTTTTGTGCCAGTAGCATGCTGATTTTTTTTTAATCTCTGTAGCTTTGTAGTGTAATTTGAAATCCAGGATTGTGATGCTTCCTGGTTTGAATTTTGTTTCTCAGGATTACTCTCTTCTGGTTCCATATAAATCTTGAGATAGTTTTTTTTTTCAGTTCTGTGATGAATATTATTGATATTTTGATAGAGTTGAATTACATCTATATATCAGTTTGGGATGTATAGCCATTTTGCCAATATTGGTTCTGCCTATTGAGGAACAAGGAATATCTTTCCATTTTCTGATGTTCTCTTTGATTTCCTTTTTCAGAGTATGGTAATTTTGTTGTAGAAGTCTTTCACTTTTGTTTTTAGGATAATTCCTAAGTATTTAATTTTTCTTGGTGCTATGTGAATGGTATTGTTTTCCAAATTTCTTTCTCTGTGAGTTCATTATTGGTGTACAGGAATAGTATTGATTTTTGTGTGTTGATTTTGTATCCTGCTACAATACTTATTGGCTCTAGGATGCTTTTGGTGGAATTTTGGGTCTATGTAAAAGATTGTCTTACTTTCTCATTGCTGGGAAAGAGTAACTAACACCCACAATTTAAAGGAAGAGAGGAATCAGCCCGCTGCAGACAGGCAGATCTGCGCACACCCTACTGAGGTCCCGAGTCCCACAGAACACGCTGAATCAGCCCACTGCAGTCAGGCAGGTCTGTACACGCCCTACTGAGGTCCCGAGTCGCGGAGAACACGCCGAGTCCGCCCATTGCAGACAGGCAGGTCTGTGCACACCCGGCCAAGCTCGCAAGTCGTGCAGAGGACGCCGAATAACCCCGCTGCAGACAGGCAACCACCTGGTTCCACACTACAAAGAGGCAGAGGACAACGCACCACCAGACCACGGTACAGAGTCCCGCTGCTCGCGGCCCAGAGGTAGGGACTTCTGAGCCGCTGTCCCACTTCTCCTGGTCCAGAGGAAGGGACTTCCCGATAACCATCCCTCCCGCTGCTCTCAGCCCAGAGGAAAGGGCTTTTGGGCCACCTTCTGTCCCTCCGCTCCTGGCCCAGAGGAAGGGGCTTCCGGGTCACCATCCCTCCCGCTGCTCCCAGCCCACAGGAAAGGGCTTTTGGGTCACCATTCCTACTGCTGCTCCTGGCCCCTGTCCCACGTCTCCCAGCTCAGAGGAGGTAATCCATGGAGGCGCCAACAGCCCCCCCCCCGTCGAAATGAGAAAACATATAATTAAGTCTCAAAACCAGACTTCCAGATCACCTACAGCAACCCCAAAGGGAAATGAGATGGAACACTCTGATACTCAACCACCTGGACCCAC